TTAGCTCACGGTTTTTTATCTCCCTGCGTTACGCGTCGGGAGACAACACAACCTCGAGCTAAAATCTACTACTTTATGTCCTTGTATAATAAATAACTATTTTCTACAAACGTCGAAAAATGACAAGGTTCGCGCATTGATAACAAAGTGCGAAGTGACACTTTTTCAGTTTCCTACGTTACCATGATAACTTGCATAAAACAATGCGCGAAGTAAAACAGTGCGCGAAGTACCTACTTCGCGCATTGTTATGAAAAATATATGAGATATTTATATTTCAACTGCATGGTCCTCAATCGAGCAAACATCCACGAAATCATTTATTTCTGAATGTTCAACAAAAACTTTGTTTTATCTCTTGAAGCGCACGAAAGGAAATTCCAATTATTTTCGTGGAACATCGTGCGTACCTAGGGAGGATAGGGGGAGGCCTTCTGAACCAGTTCAACACCATTTTTCATATCAAGCTAAGCATATTTTTACTTTAAATTATATTTTTTGACGTTTGTAGAAAAAATTTTGTTTGCAACTCGAGCGCGAAATACTTTGGTCTTCTCGACTATTTTTTTAACTCGGCTACGCCTCGTTAAAAAAATCAGATCTCGATCTCCAAAGTCGCATTTCGCGCTCTAGATACAAAAATAACTATTGTTTAGATGTAGGAATGATGAATGGATATTCATCATAGAGGGCGTGGGAAGAAAATTCTCAATTGAGAAATCCAATCACAAATCTGTGGTTAGAGGTCTACAAAAATAACAAATTTCCCTCGTTCAAGTTTGAACCCCTTGATTGGGTATGAGAGTTTTGTCAAGGAACATTTACAGACATATTATGAACACGAAAGAAATGGATACATTATAAAGAAATATATTGAGAATTGACATTTTCTATCTGATAAAAATATCAATTGTTTCTCGTTAAATTCATCAGAAAACAACTACTTTCCTGATGAAGTATACCTGTATAAACTTTGACCTTGATGACCTTGGAACTTCGAAAAAGAATTATTCATATCAGGGATAATGGAATAGTATCTCTCACGAACAGCTTATACAGTGTCTTTCAAAAGTATCGGAACGGTCTCATATTTCAGGAACGGCTTGAGAAAAATTCACGAAATTTTCTACAGGGTGATAATTGATGATGTCCGATTCAATGGTGGCATCGGCAATGTTGCCAAGTTCACAGTTTTTCAGATATTAGGAGTAACTTTAATTTTTCAAATGGAAAACCCCATTAATTTTTATTGCAATTAATTAAGCGCCTCCTAATTACTTGAGTCCCTGGATATCAGATTCGTAATTAACGTGAATTTCGAAATATGACAACATAGCATTCTCGTTAAAAAGTTCTGGAACTGTCCCATATTACAGAAACGGCTCAGAGAACATTTATGAAAACTTCGACAGGATGGTTGTTGATGATGCTTGATTCAATGGTGATATCGGCAATGTTGCCAAATCAACAGTTTTTCAGATATTTAGGGTAACTCAATTTTTTCAAATGAAATACCCTATTTGTTTTCATTGCAATACATTCAGCGACGCCTCATTACTTATGTCATATTTCGAAAACCACTTCAATTTAAAATCTGATGAGACGTTTAGTACCCGTAGAACCATCATCAACTTTTGTTTTTTAAATACGGCCCTGATAATTCTTCCACAGATCTGCACAGCTTCTGAAAGCTTTTTTATTCTGAATTCAACCATGTATTATACAAGGTGGTTTGAATGTGTTTCGAACTATTTTTAGCCATCATCAATGTTTTTTTCGAAATTCCAAAGGAAAAATGCCATCAGTTCCACTTATTTTGAAGGAAATTTAGCCAAAAAACTAATATCTCATCAACTAGTTCCGATTGATAGACTTATAGGAATAATTAGTTCGAAAAATTTGATTATGACAAGCTCCTTCGGATTAAAATATGAATACAATTCATAAACAATTCGAAGCGCTGCATTGCATAATTTAGTGGATTTTTTTTCACTTTTCAGTATTGAATAACTAGTCCATCAATGTTTGACACTGAATAATCAGAAATAAGTGAATCTGATGCCATCAGAAAATTTTCGAAGGCTGTTGGTATGAGCCTCCGAATGCGCAACTTTTTTCCCATTTAAACGACTTCGTATCTCCTACCGTTTCCGAGATCCCTATGCTGTGCAACCTTATATCTCGCAAAAATCTAACCAAATACCTAAGCCTTATATCATGGTGACCAGTGCATACCGAGATGTGCCGATATTGACAAATACACCGCCAGAGACAGAGATAATGGAAGAAGCTGCAAAAGTTGGATTTGTTTCCGGAAATTTCAAGAAAAAAGTATGATTGGCATAAACGAAAAATTTATGGAATCTAAAAAAATACAGAAATAAAATCTTTATCGGAAAGTGTACTTTTTTTAAATACTTTGAGTAACTAGGAGAGGTCTACTCTTTGGTCACAGTATTCAATGTGGCACAGTGCCACATTACAAAATGAATTATATTATTAATGCCACATTATAAAATGAATACCAATAAGCTGCATTACTCGGATTCTTTGAATAAGTGCAGTTAAAGAAAAAGTATACTATGCAACATGTGGGGAAAAGCACTTTTCTCACTCATGTGTTTGCATCACTCGCCCTTCAGGCTCGTGCCACATTCTTTCACACTCTTGAGAAAAGTTGAACTTTTCCTACTTGTTGCACAATATATTATTTCATGGTCAACCGTATCGAATGCTTTCGCCAGATCAATGAAAACACAAACAGATACTTTTTTTGTCAATTGCATTGTTCATCATTTCTATCAATCTGGCTATCGCATCCGAAGTAGAGCAATTTTCTTGAAATCCATATTGTTCATCCGATATAATAGGGTATACGCGTGTGAAAATTTTACACTGGAATTTATTTTTGTTCCATTACTCATATGTATAGATGTCGAATTATACATCCGAAAAACATTATTAAGCACCGAATATTTAAAAATTTCTGATTGAAAATCATAATATTTGCAACTTTCCGACCAACAGCCGAACTGCAGCGATGATTTCCGACTGGATGTGGCTGTTTTTATTTGTCATGTCAAACATTCATGTCCGAAAAATTGAAAATAATATAAAATAATATAAGAAGAGAAAGTGAGGTTATGATTATCTTAGTTTGTAGTTTCTATAATCTAATCTCAATATTCTGAATAATAATAACTGAATAATAAGCAAATATCTACAATAAGAATGATCAAACAGGACTTCTTTTTGCTTGTTGTTTCAAATATATATTACCATCTATCAATTTATATCTCATATAGTTTTCCATATCTTCTTCAAGCTGAAAACGAAATCACATATTATATTATTTTCCCAACAGGAGGAACATAATCATTGATATAATATAATGGGTTCCACTAGGACATACTTGAACATATACTCACTTCGAAATGGTCTTCACAAACAAATCCTCTGGTTTTCTCGGATAAATCATTTCTATTTATGGCTTGCAACCATCATTTTCTTTTCTCTTTTTTTTTATCACTCGATCCCACTGGCAATGAAAGGAATGGGGGGCTCCGTGGCCGAGTTTGTCTATGCGCTGAAATTCGCTAGATAGCCGTTCACGATGCAGAGGTACTGTCGGTTCGAATCCGGCTATCGGCTGAGCATTTTTCTTTAAAATGTGTGATTCATGGTTGTAATCCTGGCAGCACCTCGATGCCCTAGAAGTGGTTCGGATTCCACTATAAGCTGTAGGTCCCGCTCTTCCTAACCCCGCACAAGTTTCGACTTCTGGGGAGTTGGTTCCCAACTTTGAAGTAGCGATATACAAATTTTACAAAAAAAAAAAAAAAATATTTTTCCTGGTGATACTTTTGTTGATGAAAGGCATTGCGGCACTAAACAGTATTTGGTATTTTCCATTTTCAAATTTCAAATTTCAGGCGTTTAAAACTGTTTTCTTCTCCTACCTCTTCTTCTTCTTTTTTTTTCAATCTGAATCTTGTCATTCTGTCGCGCTAGTCTATGGCTGTGCGGCCTAATACTATGACGTCATAATATTAGTGATGGCCACTAACCCGTTTTCCTGTGACTTCATATTTAGCCTCATTTAAATGAAATTTCTTAGAGTCACAAGCAAATTTGAGATTAATGAATGATATCCAATGTTATTATAAGGAAGAAGGAATATAATTTCGAATAAACAAAAAATCATGCGTATTCCTTATTCTGAATGTTTTGAGAAATGATGTTATTCTACTTTGTAGAAGTTGTTCGAACACTTTGGCAATGTTTGATATCAATGATATAGGACGGTGATTCGTTATGTCTAACTTCTCGACATTTTTGTATTGAGGTCTTATTTCAGCAACTTTTAATATATCTGGGAATGTTCCATCCTTGATAGACTTGTTAATTAAATATGACAGGGGAGCTGCTAACTCATTTTTCACTTATTCGAGGGTTTCTGATCTGATTAAAAACATTGAATGATCGTTTTTTTTCTTTTTGAACTGTTTGTTTCCAATATTATATTCAATTCTTTTCGCCATTGCTTCGACCAATTTCAGTAAAATGTCTACAAAAGTTATGAGATATCATTTTAGGCTGAGAATATTTCTTTTCAATAAAATCATTCAAATTGGTGCACTTTATTTTTTTTCTTCAATTTCCAAGATTAAATTTCTTGTTAATTAGAAGAATTAGAAAAAAATCTGACGATTCGAGAAGGAAGGTCATCAAACTGCATAATATCCTTGAAATATTGATGTGCCCAATATCTGTTTTGGTATATTTCAACAAAACCTCGTATAGCGAGTATATAGAGATAAAAATTGAAAGTGAAGAATGAATTAAGAATACAAATTTTCTCGGATTGATTTCTTTCAATTTCTCGACAGAAACATATTATAATGAATCACATTTTAATAGTATTTACTCATATTCTTGAGTTGCTTTAGATAAGTGGTATCGTGTTTATAAATCTATAGTTTTATCATCAAAACGATCAAATCATCAAATCATTTATGATGACCTTATATGTCGAGATAAGATTGTGATCTCAGGTGGATGATAATGATCGGGAAAGATGATTATCCAATTAGGAATATCAATTCACTATAATAATTCATACAACCAATGTTCTAGTTCCCATTTTGAATCAAAATGTTACTGAAAAATGTGATCTACCTTTTGATTGCCTACGAATATGTGGTAAGCCTGTTAGGATTTAATTCTTTTCATACCCCATACCCTATACATACACTCCAAGTGTACCTGAATAATGTCAAACTCCTGATACAACTATTAACAGATACAGTGGCGCAACCAGGATCACTTTCTAGGGGAGGCACAAACGTCCCTATAAAAGACTGTTGTAGTGATTAGACAAGTTATTAGAGAGTTGGAGTACACGAAGTCGTTAACGTACGGAAAATAACGTTTAATTGAGTTGAGGTCATCAGTGTCATCGTCACGTAAAACATATTTTTCTGCAACCAACATAAAAGTCCATTTCGATACCAAAAGCTCTTGAATTGACGTTTCCATTACTGACACAAAAATAGGTATTGTTGAAAATCACCCAGTATCCTAGACAGGAGTAGTAAAAATAATGATATATAATTTAGCGATGTAATGTCAAGTTATTAATATAATTCTGTTTAACTGAGCTTTATTTGAACCTTCACAACTGATCGATATCAGGGCAGTGAAATCAGATAACGTAGTTTTCACATTTTGGTGCCGAAACCAGGGACCTTTATAATTTGAATCAAGTCTTGGATCTTCAATTTTCCACGGTAGAGTTACTTCATATCGCCCGTTTTTGAAACATATTTCATTGTTTATGAAGTCTACTGTAGAATTACTACATGAATCATCTTTAGTAATACCTAACATTTCCAGACTCCAAAAATTTTTCAAATCTCCATCGTCATTTGCGTTTTCAATTGTTTGCAGAGCAAGAGTAGACACCAAATTTGTATTTACTCCGAAACAATAAAAATCGCTTGATCCGTGTAAAGTCCAACCAAACTTTGTATCTAGTGCTGTCAAATTTTCAGATAGTCTTTTTTGTTCACCAGTTACTATCTTCCAGTAATTATCAGCACCGATTAATAGATTGATACCATTTTTCTCGAGCCCACCATTAGCACTAGTATCTGCTAAATGGAAATTCATAGAAAACTCTTTTATTAATGGGTCTTTAACTGATGGAGGATTGAGAGAATCAAAACATATTTCTGGAACTTCAATAGCGTTAATTTGAATCATTTCATTATTGAACTGCCCAATCAATTTCAATGAATAAAAAATGCGTTGAAATTTGTTATTGGAAAAGCTTCCCTGAATTTTGACGAACTATCTACAGTTTTAGTAGAAGTGGAATCAATTGTGAATTCCAGGCCATTAACATATTTAGATGATGATCCTGATAATATGATAATTCTGACTCCATCACGTTTCTTGATTGATAGCAGTATATTGGGATTCAGTTTTGATATCACCAATGAGGGTATCAAGAGAAGCGATATCTTGAAGTTATGGAAATCGAGAGAGCAATGGATTAATAAATTATGGACTCGTTGGAAAACTGATTATCTTCAACAGTTGCGATCTTTTCATCACAGCCAAAGAATGAAGTCGAAGAATGTGAAAATCGGAGATGTAGTTTTATTACACGATCAAAATGTACCTAGACTACTTTGGAAGCTTGTGAGGATCGTTGACGTTTTTCCTGGTAAAGATGGTCGCATTCGCGCTTGTGAGTTGAAGACTGCAGACGGTGTCTACCTGAGAAGACCGATACAACTTATTTACCCATTAGAAGTTGAATTTCCGGCGGGGGAGAATGTTGAAAATCACCCAGTATCCTAGACAGGAGTAGTAAAAATAATGATATATAATTTAGCGATGTAATGTCAAGTTATTAATATAATTCTGTTTAACTGAGCTTTATTTGAACCTTCACAACTGATCGATATCAGGGCAGTGAAATCAGATAACGTAGTTTTCACAGGTATGTTGCTAGGGAACACATTCAGTTCCTACCTAATGTTGAACTTTAGCTCCTAGGAACTAAAAAGGATGTCCTAGAGGTCATCAAGAATAAACAACATTGTTAGGGTTGGTTATTTGGGTTGGGACGCATACCTGATGATTTGTTTCAGATTTCGGCAGATTTGGCATTTCATACCCATGCTGGAGATATAAATACACCTTATTAATTATAGTTAAGTATTTTTGTTTTCATTAGGAAAGCCTTCAAGATTCACATACTTGCTTGATCTGTATTTCATTCGTTATTCTCTCGTCATTGAATAATCACGGCTAGCAATAGTTTTTTGTCTCAAACAACGATATTGTTAAACTTCATTTGATTATGAAACCAGTGGAGTATGGAGATGAATGAATAATCGCTATTATTATTGTTCATATACTCACTAACCTAACATTTTCCACGTCATGTTACTATATACCTGACACTGGCGCGGTATTTGTCAAATATGTCACTATGTGGTTGTATGTATATTGGAAATACAATTCGAAAATCCTTGAAAATTGGGTGAACCTGCTGTTAATGCAGGTGAAATATTCTCACCACACGGATTATTTGTTGCATATATGGCACGGCATTGGTGGTTACTTCACATATTTATTTGAGTTTATTGTTTTCGGTTGCTGAATAAAAAGCATGTTTCATTCGGATCAAAGTGACTTTGTTTGACGCGCAAATTTTACCTTCGCTCGGTTTGGCTTTCCTGTTTTCGATTTGGTTGTTTATTTTGAACTTATAACATCAATTCGTGTTAAAATGAGCGGAATTCTTGAAGAACAATCCTTTGGATATACAGGCTTCAATAACCTTGACTCAATGACATATTTCAGTTGACGTATGTAGATATTTAAGGTGTACGTGATAACAAGCAAGAAAAGATACACCCACTCGTGAACCCACTATTAACGCAAAAGTGAAAAACGAGAAATTCGCATGCGATGCTGTCAATTTCTACGTTAACCAAGGGGACATACAACGGCACCTAATGCCCCTGAGCAGATAATTTGAATTTTATTGCAAGTCTTTTTTATAATACACTCTTACATATCATCTCGTTATTTTCCAGAATGCAGACGTGTTAGTTACGATTCCAAAAGGGACTATCAGGGGCAGAAAAGAATATTCTTTGAGGAATATCTCATTCTACGCATTCCAAGAAATCCCTTTCGCAAAACCGCCAGTAGGAGAACTGCGATTTCGGGTAAGATTGGGTGCTAGTGCTCACGTATTTCGTCATATGTAATACCACAAGTGACACTATTTTGCAGGAAATATTCGGGGATTGTTATATGTCAATAGACGAATATTTCTAGGAAAAATAGAATCACGAGTTGTATCCGTATGAGTATTCTATGATTGAGACAATAAACGAGCGGCTTGCGAGAGTTGCTCACACTGCATCCATATCATTCTGGCTCCCAACATAATTGACGATTCAATAAAAAGACAAGAGCTTTTTTTTCATCGGTAGATTTCTCTTCGTAACGAAAAACATTTGCCGATCAGTAATTTTACGAGAAAAACTGACATGAAAAAATGAGACCGTAGGCCGTCGAGAGTTCGACTTCGAGATAAATCATCAACGACAATATACGAATAAAAAACAATGATGAAAACCTTCATTGATGATTCCGTGTTACTGGTAGTTTGCGGAATTGATTTTCTTATATTTTCGTGGTTTCTTCAGACGAAATTTTACTAAAACGGCTGATCTTGCTAATTTACGCGTAAACCATACCCATCAATCAAACTTGACACGACAGAAATTGGAGTGACATCAAATGCAAATAGCTACTAGATCAAAGGAGCATGCAGTTTATCAGCGATAAAAAAGGTGGATAGACATATCACATCATCATAATCTGAACTATAAGTAAAATATCTCAACTTGAAGTGAACCATAATCTGTTATTCTGTGTTCTTTCCGAAGAATTTGATTAGTTAGAATGCCAGTTAACTGATTCAGTTCAGTCCAAGTGAAATATGTCAGTTATTTCAGAAGGAAAGCATATCATTATAACATCGAAAATAGTTCAGTGGCGCAGACTAGAGGTTAGACAATGAAAGATTAATCGGACCACTCTATATTTCAATGCTGTCAAGTTGGTAGCATTGGAGGGAAAGATGACAAACGAAAGAACTTTCCTCTATTTCGTTTAAGGTAGAGAAGAGCAGAATTCGGCTTCTGTGTTGTTGAAACAAGTCCGATAAAGTTTAGTTGACAGAAAAATATCGCTGTTATACAAAAGAAATCGTGAAAATGGCCGATTCTGATTGATTCTGGAGACCAGAGTAGAATAGTAACCGTAGAAATAATAAATTTCAAATGAAGTAATTGTTGTACCTCTCAAAATCAATCGAATGGTGAAAAAAAATTGATCGGTTCTCAAATGAAATACTCACCAACTACGAAGAAGCCAAAATGCTCTTAGTGGAATAAAATGTTGAATGAATATGCATAGCTCAAAGTCATTTCCATATTTTTTGATATTTATTTAACATTTCATTCCACACTTTGAGCGTTTTGGCTTTTTCGTAGGTGAAATTACGCCAGTCGGGCAATCAGCCACTTCCACATCTTCTGAAATGGGGATTTGTTTTGGAGTGTTTCTTTCCTTCTACCCCAGGTGGCATTCGTGTCCATCTCACAGTGGCCGAACGCCTCGTAACTCGTTTTAATTGTTGGGATGTGTTAATGTTGGGCGGATGGCGGTCAATAATACCATCTGGTGACACCACTGCACTGATGAGAGCCGAAAGCCCAAAACCTGTCTGAAGGTAGTCAAGCGTTCCTGAACAATATGAGAACAATTCAGCATTCAGAAAAGGAAATCTCTTAATTCGTCTATCGGGTGGTCACAAAAAACCGGAAGTTTTTATTTTCCTCGTCTTTTCATCATTTCTCAACCGAATTCGAATTTCTTGGCGTCGTTCCATAGCTAAAGGGCTATAGTATACAGTGGAATATTTCAAAATTTCATAATGAACAAAAACAAAATGCATGGCGGATTCTACCAAAGTATTGTCATTTACAGAAACCGCTGGAGAAAAAGAAAATCAGATTTTTTCCAACCGGTGCCGATGTCATCTTAGGCTAGTCATTTCTGCAGAGAATGAGTACTCGAACATCGAAATCGAACAAATAGCCCAGTAGATACATTCATTTCTTTGCAATTTGTTATGGAGTGAATGTGCTGATCTCGTATAAACGATCATTGTTATTTTGCTTCAGGTTTCATGAAAATTCAATCGAATTTGGATTTCTTTAGAGTTATTTCAAAGATAAAAAACTGTAGAACACAATGGAACATTCGAAAATCCAATAAGTGAAAGAAACGAAATGGTGAACAATCCAGAATTTTTGTGACTTTTAAAAATCTCTGGCGAGTAAAAAAATTGTTATTCTTTCAATCAGGACCGATACAATTTTTGATCATTGTGTACTACAGTTCTTTATCTTCCAAATAACTCTAAGAAATCCAAATTCTATTGATTTTTCATGAAGCCTGAAGCAGAATAATAATAATCGTTTATACGAGATAGCACATTCACTCCATAACAAATTACAGAGAAATGAGTGTATCTACTGGACTGTTCAATTTCGATGTTCGAGTACTCATCCTCTTCAGAAATGGATAGCCTAAGATGATATCGGTACAGGTTGAAAAAAATCTGATTTTATTTTTCTCCAGCGGTTTTTGTAAATGACAATACTTTGGTAGAATCCGCCATTTCGTTTTTGTACATAACGAACTTTTCAAATATTCCACTGTATACTATAGCCCTTCTGCTATGAAACGACGCCAAGAAATTTGAATTCGCTTGAGAAATGATGAAACCACAAGAAAAATAAAAACTTCCGGTTTTTTTGTGACCACCCGATGTACGTATCGTTGCATATATTCCGGAAGGATGTAATTCAATGTTCTGCGTGGCATATAACCAGAAAACTAGTTGATTTTCTCTCACTATCTATCAGTTTCGTTCATTCATGAACATTTCTGGTAATGACTTCGAGCTATGCATACTTATTCATTCAAATACCAAATACTTTTTCTTTTTAGGAACCACAACCAGATGAAGGATGGAAGGGTATCTTAGACGCAACGAAAAACACAAAAATATGTTACCAGCAGAGTAACATGTTGAATACAAATCTGACCCTTCTGGAAAATGAGGATTGTTTGTATCTAAATGTATACACACCGAAGGTGAGTTGTCCGACTATTGCTATATGCTATATCTGACAAGTTGAGGATAGCCTTTGATGAAAGAAACGTAGTATCTCAAAATCTGATATTACCAGATTGGATAACATACGAAAAGGAAGAAAAATGTTAGTGTATTTCTTCTTCTATTTGCCGAGATAAAAGGGCTAGTGCCCGAAAACGAAAATCTGCTTCGCTATATAGACGCTCCGCCTCGCAAATGCAAAAGTCTCTTGTTCAACAGAGTGTCACTTTTGATCCTTCTAAAATAATCTACTATTTAAGACATGATGTTTCCATTTTTCCACATAAGATATGAGTAACTACAAGTGATAGAAAATTGCTCATCTGCATTTTTTATTAAAAGCCATCAGTATTGTCAAAATAATTATTTTGTATCCAGTGCGCGAAACGCCACTTTGGTGATTGAGAACTGATTATTTTTAATGAGGCATAGGGCATAGCCGAGTTAAAAAAAAATAGTCGAGATGACCAAAGTATTTCGCGCACGAGTTGCGAACAACTTTCTTCCTACATCAAAAAACAAAGTTCTAAAGTAGTATAATATGAAAAATAGTGTTGAACTGGCTCAAAAAGCCTTATAATCATTTTTAAACATTCAGAAATCAATGATTTCAGTTCATTGTACCAGTATATCACCTGACGAAGCTACTGTGTTAACGAAACATGTCGTGTGTTTTTTTGGGGAAATCTTATCGTTGGTGAAGTTTTTGCCATGGATTTCCATCAACGGCCGAGTCAATTGAAAAAAAAACAATATTACCACGTTAAATCTCATCAAAAGTTGCAATGGATAAGTTTTTTCGTTTTTCTGTTTCTCTAATAATACAAATAAATTTCACTTCCTTCAATATAACTGAAAAACTATGAACAATTTCGAAAACCTTGGAAGGCCTTCAGTTTGACACTCGGAATGCGCAACTGTTCTCCTATATTCTGATTTCCATGACTTATATTCTAGTATCCCACGTCTGAGGCTTCGCTACCAGTGATGTTCTATATCTATGGAGGAGGATTCGTCAATGGAGCTGCTAATTTCGAATTCAACGGCCCCCATTACTTGTTAGAACACGATGTCATTGTCGTCACAGCCAACTATCGTGTGGGACCATTCGGTAATTTTGCTTTTATAGTTTTAAGGCTGTATCAAGACATTTGTCAGAACAAAGTGGCGATACCAGAATGATCATTGGTTGACTCGACTTCCATCAAAAGTTAACGTGATAGCTTTGTGAGGTGGTTTGAAACGTGATCGATGTTCCCAAACAGCTGGTTGGTCAGACTGGTGGTCAGATTCATACTGAACGCATATGGCCGGTCAAACCACAGACTTGACAGAGCCTAATAAGGCTTTGTGAGCAGGTTTGAAACGTGACCGATATTCCCAAACAGCTGGTTGGTCATACTGATGGTCAGACTTTATACTGAACGCATGTGCCCGGTCAAACCACAGACTTGACACAGCTTAATGAGGCTGTGTCCAGTTATCAGTCAGACCATGCAAAGTGGCGATACCAGAATAGTTATTGGTTGACTCGACTCCCATCAAAAGTTAACGTGATAACTTTGTGGGCAGATTTGAAACGTGATCGATATTCCCAAACAGAGTGGTGGTCAGACTTCATACTGAACGCATATGCCCGGTCAAACCATAGACTTGACAAGTCTATGGACTTGACAGAGCCTAAAATAAGGCTGTGTCAAGTTATTCGTGAGACCAATGTGGCGATACCAAAAGTGTCATTGGTTGACTCGACTACCAGCAAAGGTTAACGTGATAGCTTTGTGAGCAGGTTTGAAACGTGACCGATATTCCCAAACAGCTGGTTGGTCACAATGGTGGTCAGACTTTATACTGAACGCATGTGCCTGGTCAAGCCACAGACTTGACACAGACAAATTATAGTTCAAGCAAAGTAAATTGGAGCGCCTCGAGCAGCACGTGACATAAACTTCAAAAGGAATTCAAACGTGCCGACACTGATAAGACACGCTGTAATTGCTACATCCGGTATGTATAAGAAAGATGTTTTTTATGCGCACACAAATGTTCAGAAGGAAATAACCTTTTATTCAAAACAAAAAAGGTTAAATCGGACGAGTAGTTCTGACGAAAATATTTCCTTAACTTTTGGCAACTTCTTGGTGGTACGTTAATTTCTTGAAGAAGTGTATAGTAATCTCAATTCGCTTGCTAGATATATAATTTGTAATAACACTGTGATATGTTCAAGTTTCAAGTATTGATATATAACTTTTAATATTCGTCGTCTCATACAATGTGTTCTATACAATATCTCCTCCTCTTAAGAAATTCTCACACCTGTGATAATAGAGTCTAAGATTCTAAATATGAGCGGTTTCTTCTTTCAAATCATTTTGAAAATGAGTGTAGGATAGAATGTTATCCATATATTTTAGTTTTGTCATTTTGAGAGGCCCTTTGGTAACAAAATCGTTGGTCCCTTGATAAAATCCAATCTCCAATTCTTAATATCGGTGGTTTGGTCTTACGATTCCTATTTGCTTGATCTCTAATCCTCTTCTTATTATTATTTAATTGTTCTTCTGTTGTCTTGATTTTTTCTTGTTCGTTTGCCGGGCAGTATAAAATTTGGAGAATATCCCAGGTATTCATTATGGAAATAACTATGGGGACAAACTGCTGCTTCTAGACATAATTTCCTATCACCTCTAAAATTTTCATAACATTTCATAAATGTTTTGTCATCTCTCACTGCTCTTTCAGCTAATCCATTGCCAGCTGGATGATAGGGAGTTGTATGAATTTACTTGATCCCTTCTTTCAATTCAATGCCCACATAGAGAAAACACCTGAAGCAAAAGCTAATCCACGATCCGTGACAATATGTTTGATCTTGTTCTTGAACGGTAGTCGATTGGGATAATTTTTCAGAGCTAATCAATCCACTTTCCTGCATTACTTTTGCAGAAATGTGTCTTGTAGCTTCATCGATAACAACTATAAAAGATTTGGTAGTTCTATTTGAATCAGATTTTTTGGCAGGTATATAGTATTTTAGAACAAGAAGTTGAATGAACGAAATCGGGTTTTGGTAAATATTTAAATTTGACAACTTGGCAGACTTCACAAGTTTTCATATTATATCTGATATCCTTGCTCATCAACACATTGTATGATACGAATCTCATTTTGTTGTGATAAATATAAATAATATAAGAGTAATATATCAATACTTGAAACTTGAACATATTAGAGTGTTATTACAATGTGTTCTATACATGAGTTTAGGGAAGGCTAATGAAGATCATCTCAAAATAACCTGAGGAATCTGGAAATGCAATAAAAATATAGCTTTCTATTCAAAACCTCTGTATACAAACTTTCAAATCAGTGTCATTTCTAGAACTCCGAATCCGTGTCTTTATAGGTGTGGTTTAGATGAAACATCCAATATAATATCAGGAAAAATAATATAGCACTATTATATCAACAAAAAAGTCTTCTGTATACCTGAAGTCGACTCACTTAAGAGCACACGCATTATAGGGGAGGATGAAAAGGAGAAAGAAGAACCTAACAAGTACTACCTGATCTCAAAGTTTCCTCTCAATAATAAAACTGAACTAGAGACATATATTGGCTATGGAGAGCAACCTCATCAAATATAGCAAATATCTTCATCTAAATTCTGGATCAGAAGTAACAAGCTGCAAAAACCTACTTTATCAGAATTGTTTTTGTTCTAAACTCTATCTTGCTTAAGTACAGGGTGATTCACATAGGAACCGACATAGAGCAGGGGCACGTAGGGAGTTCCAAAATATGGCAATTTAACGCAACTTACCTCTATACCAAGTTGCTTCCCTAAGGAGTTATAGGCTTTGAAAGTGAAGTTATAAATTTTGAAAAAAATCAATATCTCCGTTATTCTTGAACTTAAAGCAATCAAATTCGGTACACTTTATGGAGGTATTCAGGGCTGTACTTGACAGTAACTAGAGTTTAATTGAAATTTGTAAAGGGGGTATACCGGGTGGCGCACCATTAATATTCAACAGAATTTCGTTAACCCTCGATGGATTTTAAAAATCTTTGCTTTGTTTTGTGGGCAATTCAATTCTAAAACTTTTCTTAGTCTAGTAATTTCTCGAAAAACCTCATCATTTTCATCAAAAAATCGAATAACTGAAAACGCGTGCTCTAGGTGTGTTATTTAAAATCATCGAAAATTCAAAAGTTGGCTATGAAAATGAATGTCAAACTTGACAATGAAGCAAGTAAGTTGTTCAATTAAGTAATTTATCGATAAACAATTATTATTTGTTCTGGTTGTTGTTTAAGTTTTTTGTGTTTATTTTGGTTAGTTGTTAATCCCAGTTTTTCACATTTCAGTATCTGTCCTTACTTTACGTATTTTATTACGTATCTAAATAATAATTTGCCAGCCAATTTCTACTGATCACAATCAATGACCTACTTTCTTGTTGTACGTTTATTTTCATAGCCAACTTTTGAATTTTCGATGATTTTAAATAACACACCTAGAGCGCGTGTTTTCAGTTATTCGAGTTTTTTATGAAAATGATGAGGTTTTTCGAAAAATTACTAAGGTAAAAAATGTGTTAGAATCGAATTGCCCACACAACAAGGCAAATATTTTTGAAATCCATCAAGGGCTAACAAAATTCTGTTGAATATTAATGGTGCGCCACCCAGTATACCCTCTTTACAAATTTCAATTAGGCTCTAGTTACTGTCAAGTAACGCCCTGAATACATCCACAAAGTGTACCAAATTTGGTTGCTTTAAGTTCAAGAATAACGGAGATATTGATTTTTTTCAAAATTTATAATTTCACTTCCAAAGCCTATAACTCCTTAGGGAAGCAACTTGGTATAGAGGTAAGTTGCGTTAAATTGCCATATTTTGGGACTCCCTACATGCCCCTGCTCTATGTCGGTTCTTATGTGAATCACCCTGTATAGTACAGTCAAAAATAATAGCTTAGGGAAAACAAGCTCGGAAAAAACTGATTTCCAGTGAGGCACATTACTGTATAAAATCTCTTACTGATATAATTCTTGAATTTATCTCAATCAGTCCCTGACTTCATTGCGATTATTCCAAATATCATGGAATATTCCTCAATGTGTTTTTACGCCGGCAGGAGTAGAAGATAGTTTCTCTGGTAACAAAAGAGGGGCCGAAGTCTCGTATTATCCTCTAGGGAGATAATGTGACATATTTTCTCCCTAAGGAGTTTATACCAATTTCAAATTTTCCGCATAGCTCTGCGCTTTCTCTTAGAAACACCCTTCTCTGAAGCGAGTATAAGTTGCATCATACAATCACTGCAGAAGCAGTATCAATAGTTTCTTGGGGTTTTCCCTCGATTTCCTTTTCCATAACCGTTAACAATTTTCAAAGCAGTTTTCATAAATTTCGGTTTGATATTTGCTGTCACCATGGGTTGTCAACAAGATGCATGTTGTCAAGATACGAATTCCACAAACTATACTCTACTAATTATGACAAAACACTTTGACCAAATTTTTATTCTTCCCTAATTTTTGTGTTTTCGCCAACGTGAAAAATTGTATATACACCTCAGGACACAATGCTATTGTCACCTTGGAAAAAATCTTGCATTTTTGTTCCTTGATGTATAATGTACTATTCTTACTCTGAATATTTCACTCTTGTTTCCTAGAGCCAATCAGAATCGCTTATTTTCAAGGTTTCTACTCATATTACAGTAACATTTTTTGTTCACCACAACATCGAATATCAACTTTCAGAGCCACCACCTAGGCCGGAGAAGTGCAACTTTTACAAAGACTGGGCTTTTACTGGACAGCTGCCGAAAATGACATTTACATTCTCTTCCTTGCTTTCAGGTTTCCTCACGACTGGTGACCTAGTAATTCCTGGCAACTACGGTTTGAAGGATCAACTCTCGGCCTTGAAATGGATCAACCAGAACATTAAATATTTCGGTGGTGATCCAGAAAAAGTGACCATTTTCGGTCAAAGTGCCGGAGGAGCATCTGTCAACTATCATTTTATGAGCAAACAATCTGAAGGTACATTCTAACATGGTGTTTCTACCCTATGAGGAATTTATCATCGGCCCCAATCATAATTGAGGAGAAAAGAGAAAGAGGAACAGGAAGGCAAAATAGCTGAATTCATTCAACATCCATTATTATAACGGCCGATGATGGACTTCTCGGAGACTGAAACATATCGTTTTAAAATTCTGTGTATAGTGTATGATTTATATCGCAATATATTATTAATAACATGCAATTTCCTATAACATCGTGGATTTGGTACCATTCACAGCAATGTTTCATAGCAACATAGCGAATCTTTGCCTGTACATAAATAGTTATTCGTTTTATTAGGCAGAAAAGCACAAGATTCAATGCCACGGCTGGCGTTTCATAGCCAAGGTCTAGCCGAGCCTAGGAAGCCAGCCAAGCCAAGGCATTTCTAAATATCGTTCTAAAATTGTTCTAAAATTGTTCTATCCGTCATTCGATTGCCCCCTTACGAGCAACCCTCAGAAGTCTTCGAGAGTCTTGTGCGGGCAAGGAATGACGGGGGCCTTACCTTTCAACGTGTGATCCAAACATGACCCTGCATCTCAAAAACTGGTCATAGGATCAGATTGATACTTGGCATATCTGATCATTTGATCGATTACTGTCATATACCAGAAATTCAGAGAATTCGACAAAACGCCATTTTTATAAACGAGAAGTGCGGGGTCCAAATTTCTGGCCATATTATTATGTACTACCCATACATTGGTATCTGTACAAGTATTCAGATGCCTCTCAAGTCATACTTATCTGACCGTAGTACTTATGTTGAGTGTGATGGAATCAAATCTTCCTGCTTTACAGCATCTTCAGGTGTCCCTCAAGAATCAACTCTTGGACCTTTACTTTTTCTAATTTCCACAAACGATCTTGCTGATCACATTCTATCCAAAGAACTTTTATTTGCTGATGATATAAAGATTCACAGAGAAATTAAAGATGAAATGGATAACATTGCATTGCAAGAAGACTTCTCTGAGTCACTGGTGCTTTCAGAACAAACATCAGTTGAATAATAATGAATGTAAAGTTATGACATTCACTCGAAACGTTGTTCCAGTCACATGTAACTATAAGCTTGATGACAATATTCTAGTGCGAGTCACTGAATCGAAAGACTCAGGAGTCATATTTGATCAAAAACTTACGTTTGTCATATAATTTCAACATCAATGATAAATTTAGGTTTTCTGATACGAAACTGTAAAGACTTCAAATCATTCGATTGTCTGAAAAGCATATATCTAACGTTAGTCAGAAGTATTCTCGATTATTGTGGTGAATGTTCAGAGGAAATTTTGGAAATTCGCATTTTATAAAAGGCATGGTTATTATCCTGCAAGAGGCTATAACTATGACCTACCCCTTACTCAGTTCAATTTGATATCCCTTAAAATACATCGTGAAATAAGAGACTTATGCTTCATTAACAAAATTATCAACAATCAAATATATTCCTCTACTAACCTATCACAAATGATGTTCAATGTTCCTCGAGCTTCTTCACGTGGTTGTAAAACATTCCACTCACCTCTGTACCTAAGACAATACCGAGAACAATACACAATTTCCACTCGCCTATTACATCAATGTCTAGAAGTGTAAACAATATCTCTACTGTAGATATTTTCTTTTTATTCAAACGTGTTATTCTCAACTCAATTCCTAACTGATATTTTGTATAACATTTCTGTCCTAATCACTTAGTTTGAAATTATGTACACCTGTCATTGGGCTCTAGGGCCTGGTGGATTAATAATTAATAAATGAATAATTAAATACCTTGTCCTTGTCAATAGTCTTTTAAATTCACGAACAAAATATTCATCGGTTTCAGGTTTATTTAGAGCAGGTATTGCACAAAGTGGATCGATATTCAGCCCATGGGCTTATCAGGGAGATTCAAAGAACATAGCCTATGACCTTGCTTCTTATGTCGATATCAACTTCCAAAGAAATTCAAGCTCGGAAGAATTGCTGAGATTTTTGAGGAACGTTCCAGCTAATGACCTAAAGATAGCTGCAGCTAGTTATCCGGTAAATTCCTTATTCCACATTTTAAGACAACTTGATGAGGTTTCATTTATCAGCGTTACAAGAGTTGCTTGTTCATGAAATGTTGTTGCTGTTGATGTTGTTGTTTTCTTGCGAATTCAATAGGTTATTAGATTCATAGCATAAATAGATTCTGAATGGATTTCTGATTTATGAAGAAACATTGAAAATCTTGTCCTACTTATACAGGGTGTTTCAAAAAACCTAACCCCCTTGCTAGGGTAGGTAGAACATTGCAAAATGAGTTGGGTTTCTTTCGTAAACAAATGTAGTTGAGGCATCCTTTTTCATGATACAAGTTGTTGAAAAAATTATTTTTTTACACATTTCTCACGATTATTCCGAAACTACTGGCAACATTGTAATGAAATTTTGTATGTGTGGTATTAGTTCCTAACATTCGTTCCCTGACCGCTTCAACAGATGCTTGGCAACACCGCAGAGCAGGCTTGACGTGGCGACAAGAGAATGACAGCAGACATCTAACACCTGAACACCTGAATTATTATGTGAACAATAACAATTATTTTTATGTTTTATTCTGATAAGTTAAACAATAAACCTTTGCCACAATTGAAGTAGAATCCATACACCATCATACTACATTTTGGCGACGAGAAAGTGGAAACTCATTGTGTGTGTGAAGTTCGGAATAAATGTCGCGAACGGCGCGAATCCAGTCAACAAAGTGGTAGTAAACAATACCAGACGAAGATTCTAAGGTGAAAAACAATTTAAAAAAAACACTGTCAAATTAGCAAACTTGAGTTGAGGAACTAAAACAATTAGTTTTTTTTTGGTGATAAGTGCACCCTGAACAGACGTTTTTAGTGTGTGTGTGCAAGATGAGTAACAACGATTATGCCAAAGACTTTCGTTTTGAGAGGTTTGACTCTACCAAAGAGGAGTGGGAATACTATGCCCAGAGGTTTGAGATGGAACTGCTAATACATGGGTTGTTAACAATAGATACCCAGGAGAAAAGACGAAATCTGCTTTTATCTAAGGTAGGCCCAGAACCATTCAAAATTTTAGTCGACCATTTCAAGCCAGATCCGGTGAATACCAAGACCTATCAGGAACTGAAGACAGTACTAAATAGCTATTATGGCAAGCAAACATATATTTTTGCTGAAAGAATACAGTTTGCATCCAGATTTCGTAAAGACGATGAATCTATAACCCAGTTTGTTACTGCATTGCGAGGGCTAGCAGGAAACTGCGAATTTGGTGATAGTTTACGGGAAAGATTACGTGATCAGCTGATCATTGGTTTAAATTCGCCTGAGTGGCAAGAACAAATTATTCGGATGCACCCAACAAATGCAGCAACTTTGGAACAGGTTCAAGCTTCTGCTACTGCTTTCGAACAAGCTGCTATTCAATCAAAGCGTCTAACAGAAATTTCAAAATCACAACCTGGTGCACATGCAAATTATTTGAATAAATATCCAAATAATAAAAAAATATGGCAAAAACACTCCCAACAAGCATCTACCAGTACCGATAAGCATATAGTTATGTTAGATCCGAACAAACAGTGCGTTTTTTGTGGAAAACTCAAACATCAGGACAAGAGTGATTGTCCAGCATCTGGAAAAAGATGCTCGGAGTGTTCTGAAAAAAATCATTTCGCCCGTGTGTGTATCTCAGCAGGGAATGCAAAAATAGTTAAAAATAAACAAAAACGAAGTACTCGCCATGTACGAGATGCTACTGAGTCAGATTATCAATCCTCTGAGGAATCTGAGGACACAGGTAGCGACTCCAATGAGAGTAGTTTTGCAAATGTTACAAATGTACGAAAAGTGAACTCAATAAACAAAGTAATGATCAAAGTTCACATTAACAGTTTGAAAATTGAAATGCTGTATGATACTGGCGCAGCCCATTCGGTAATAGGCAGAAAAATTTGGCAAAAATTAGGTAAACCAAAATTGAAACAAACTCAGAATCTCATTGCCTATACTGATTTAGAAATACCCACTCTAGGTATAATCGAAGTTGATGTTCAAGCTTTCAAGGGGCAAAAACATACCTTACCTTTATATGTTGTTGAAACTGATGATATCCCACTTTTTGGATTAGATTGGTGTTTAAAATTCAACCTAGTACTGCCACCTGGATCAAGAATATGTAATTTGACATCTGAATCTAATATTATAGTCCAGGAGAAAAATCATCCAATAGTCCAGGAACAAATGTCTGAATTTGGTAAAATTTTGATGGAATTTGAAGAACTTTTTAGTGGTGAACTAGGGGTCATAAAAGCCAAGATCCACATCGATGAGAAAATAAAACCAAAAACATTCCGGTCCCGGAATGTACCGATACCTTTACAGGAACAGGTCAGTGCAGAGATCGATAGACTCATTAGGGAAGATGTATTAGAACCAATCGATACTTCGATCACTCCTATTGAATGGGCATCACCAATAGTCATTGCCATGAAATCGAATGGAAATTTGCGAATATGTGGTGATTTTCGTGTTACCATCAATCCCCATGTCCAGATCGATAATTACCCACTTCCGAGATTTGACGATATCACTGCGAAATTGAGTGGAGGACAGTATTTTTCAACTATTGATTTGAAGGATGCGTATTTGCAGTTGAAGGTACATCCTGATTCCAGAAAGTACCTGGTAATCATTACGCATCGTGGGTATTTTGCCTATAAGCGGCTTCCTTTCGGGGTATCATTTGCTCCAGCATTATTTCAGCGCACCATGGACCAAATCCTGTCAGGTCTAGATGGTGTGGTATGTTACCTCGACGACATCTTAATAACTGCCTCCACTATTGCCCAACATAATCAACGAGTTAGATCAGTTTTGAAATGTTTACTAGCTGCGGGAGTTAAAACACAGAAAGCAAAATGCCAATGGCTGAAGAATAGTATCACCTTTTTAGGTCATAGAATTGACAGCGAGGGCCTGCATCCAACACAGGACCGTATTCAGGCAATTCAGAACATGCCATGCCCAACAAATACTAACCAACTTCGTTCATTTCTTGGTTCTATCACTTATTATGGCCGGTTTATAGAAAACCTCCATGTACATTGTGTACCGTTATACAGATTACTGAAGAAGGGTCAAAAGTGGGAGTGGAATAAAGATGATGATGAAATATTTTCGAAGTTGAAAAAGAAACTGACAGCATCAGATACTTTGGTACATTATAGCCATGATCTACCTCTAGTGATTACCAGTGATGCTAGTGATAAAGGCGCTGGTGCAGTCTTGTTCCACAAATATCCCGATGGACAAATGAGGCCAATAGCTTTCGGTTCAAGAAAATTCTCCGAAGTGGAAATGCGTTATTCCACCATTGATAAGGAAGCTTTAGCACTCATATTCGCTGTAACTAAATTCCACCAATATGTTTATGGTCGTCGTTTCATGTTATTGACTGATCATAAACCGCTTGAAAGAATATTTGGAGAAAATCGTGAAACTCCCAAAGTTGCCAGTAATAGGTTACTTCGGTGGGCAATGCTATTGAATAGTTATAATTTCACCATTGCTCACCAAGCTGGCAAAGAAAACGCCGCAGCTGATGTACTCTCCCGATTACCTATAAATGATGATACCATATCAAGCCTTGAGGAGGAAGGGCTTCCCAAAAGAGGACATTTGCTGAACTTACGTCTACGAAACTTGCCAATTACCAAACGAAAGTTGAGAGACGAAACAAGTAAGGACCCAAAGTTCCAAAAAGTTTTACATTGTCTAAATACTTATTGGCCTGATAAGAAGAATATCCCAGAAATAATTTTACCATACTATGAAAAACGCAACGAACTGTCGTTTGAGGAGAATATTCTTTTATGGAAGGGGAGAATATGCATACCCGAAACACTACGAGAGGAGGTTCTCAAGCTTTTACATGATGGCCACCCCGGTATAAGTGCTATGCAGTCTATGGCCAGATATCATGTATATTGGCCTAACATTGATTTGGAGTTGGTTGACCACATCAAATGTTGTGTTTCCTGCCAAGAGTCAAAACAAAACGATCGGAAAGTTCCTTTATATCCTTGGAGCGTGCCACCCGAGCCATGGTCGCGAATACACATAGACTTTGCCGGACCATACGAAGGAAAAATGTGGCTAATTATTATAGACAGTTATACGCGATGGTTAGAAGTGCTTTCGGTTAAAAACATTACGGCAGAGACAACAATCCGTGCGTTAGGAGAAGTTTTTTCCAGATTCGGTCTTCCCAAATTTATAGTGTCTGATAATGGGCCACAGCTCGTTTCGGAGGATTTCGAACATTTTTGTACAGTGAATAACATAACACACATTAAAGTTACACCGTATCACCCTAAATCAAATGGACTAGCAGAGCGTGCGGTACGTACATTCAAAGACCGAATGAACGCGAGTGACAAAACTTTGGACTTGAAAACGCGATTGAATAAGTTTTTGTTTTCCTACAGAAACACCATTCAGCGATCAACAGGTAGAACCCCGAGTGAACTTATGTTCTCTAGAAAACCAAGAACTTTATTCGATCAGCTTAAACCCGATTTGAAACGTAACATGGAAAAGTCACAGTGGGACCAAAAACTGTATCATGATAAAGGATCACAGTTACAAGAGTTGTCCGAAAACCAGGATGTGTGGGTCAACAATCCACTGCACAAAGGATCGATACCCGGGAAAATCATAAAACAAACGGGGCCGTACTCCTATCTCGTAGATGTACAGGGTGTGACCAAGCGAAAACATGCTGATCAAATACGACCTCGAGTTCAAGAAGGTGTTTTGAAGTCAACAGCGCTGTCACCAACTGGTGATTATTTACCAACTGTAATCCAGATACCAGACCTCGGAGGAAAGCAAGAAAATGAACAGATAAATCAAAATGATAGTCCAACCCCATTTAGTCCTAGTTCAGAACATTCATTTTCTGAACCAGCACCGGTTGATCCCTTTCCAGATCAAGAAACCAGCAGTTCCAGTCAAACCGTGGAACCACGAAGGAATCCAACGCGGAACCGGAAACCACCGGCTCGTTTCCAGGACTAGCAATGACCCCCCACTGTCCCATGTCTTCCTTATTTCTGTGGTGAAGGAGGAATGTGGTATTAGTTCCTAACATTCGTTCCCTGACCGCTTCAACAGATGCTTGGCAACACCGCAGAGCAGGCTTGACGTGGCGACAAGAGAATGACAGCAGACATCTAACACCTGAACACCTGAATTATTATGTGAACAATAACAATTATTTTTATGTTTTATTCTGATAAGTTAAACAATAAACCTTTGCCACAATTGAAGTAGAATCCATACACCATCATACTACAGTATGCATGTTTCTTGAAATCTGACACATCGCATGAATTTGTTTTTATATCTGACTCTCATAGAGGGCGCTAGTTACACGGTTCGTACCGAGTAGTTTTGAACATAACTTTTTTTGAGGTTAGATTTTTCAATCCAAATATGATATGAACTTGAACATCATTCAATTTTACACCAAAAAGGTACTCTTGGTGAAACTCGATACTGTGTTTTCGGAATATTTCGATTTGAAAATAATGGAGTAGTGATGATGCTGATATAAAATAAATTTTATTGAGTTCAATTACCTATTTATTCAGGTTCAAAAACAATGAAATTATTGATGGAACAAAGAATCATAAGTAGAGAATTGAGAGATATTTGACTAGAAACATGAAATATTGAATCAGTTAGAGTAAGTGTTCAAAATATCCTACGTTTCGGGGAATACACGATCCTATCTTCTTTTTTTGAGAATGTATTATTCTTCTGAACAGTTGAGGATCAGCTGTTAGGTCATTTAAGTGATGTTCAATTATGTCTCACAACTCTTGACGTGAATTTAACTATGTAGCATATAGACTTTCTGCTCAAGATACAACAAACCTGTTTAATCCATGTTCTTAGTCAAATCTTTTTCGATGTTATTCTTGTGATTCATTGTTAAATCAATGATTTTTGCATCAGAAATGTATTGTTGTTTTCGGTTTTCAATAAATTGGTGATAATTTTTCATAATACTCACTCTAATACAAAGCTTTATACCAACAACAGTTACCACTTCATCATTTTCAAATCGAAATATTCCGAAAACGGAACACAGTATCGAATTTTACCAAGAGTACCTTTTTGGTGTGACATTGAATGATATTCAAGTTCTCATCAAATTTGGATTGAAAAATCTAACCTCAAAAAAGTTATGTTCAAAACTACTCGGTACGAACCGTGTAACTAGCGCCCTCTATGAGAGTCAGATATAAAAACAAATGCATGTGATGTGTCAGATTCCAAGAAACATCACATACGGAAATAAAATTGTTGACATACAAAGTAAAACAAGAGCATTTTTGTGTTATAGCCATTGAAAAAATAAAATTCCACAATCTGTAGGTGAAACTGACTTCACTGCTAGAAATATCATAAAAAAGGCATCTGAAACATACTCCACTCTCCATGCATGTATCATAAAATGAACCTTTCCAGATAGGTGATCGACAAATACAACAGGTCTTTTCATATGATCCGTAAATTATATCACAGATAGCCTACCTACAATTATTCTGAAGTATTTTCTGAAGTAACTTCTGTATTTATGTGAAATTTTCTGCAAATTATTGGTATGCAATTTTGCCTTTCTCATTACTCCAATCTGAATCAGCATAATTTATTGAATTCTGATGAATCTTCATATTTGCTCATTACATTTCATTTATGTGATTTCAGGCGCAAATGTTGAATGATCAAATCGTCCAAGGATTTGCGTTCGCACCTACAGTCGAACCTGAACACGAAAATGCTTTCATCACTGAGTTGATGTATGAAGCTGTGGAAAAAGGGCATATTAATCGTGTGCCCATGATGATTGGTACATGTTCTGAAGAAGCGATAATATTCGGCTCAAGTAAGTTATCGGTCTGCTACAAAGATCTGATAATATTGAACTATTTTCTATATTCGGTGCTTGAGGAGGAAGGAATTGGAAAAAACATAGGAGTGAGACGAAATCAGCTGATAGTTGAGTGAAGTTGAAAAAACATTTCGGGACGCCATGATTCACATACATGACGAATCAATTCAGCATTGAAATTTCACTGCCGAAGCATATCGACGGTCATCTCACGTAGTGACGTATCTCAGTTTTCCTAATTTCACAGCAGAGCAGTTCAAAGATTTTCAACATCTTAATTAGCTCATATTTCAGAGGGTTGTTCATGAAAGATCATTATTTTTTCATTTATCAGTGGATGAACTGGAACTAGTTTTCATGATATGGTGAGATTTCGAAAAAGATATCGAGTGAATTCAAATGAATAATAACAGATTTGAATATTCATTTTTATTGATAAAAACACAGAAATTCATTCCACTTGTACAATCCTCCTTTCAGTAGGTACCTTGATATACGTCACCCAAGATATTTTGATTTCCGAGGCAAACCCTATGTGAGATACGTCACTTTCGACATTTTCAACACATAATGAAAATATATCTCACGTACTGACGTAACTCCTATAGTTGGGTCACTTCGTGAGATTCGGTAGTCCAATAATTTGAGATAGGCTGGGTATTAGATTTTCAATAGCACGAAAACCATTTTGGGACATGAAATCTAGTTCGTAGGTTCATCAATTTGAGCCTTCCGAGTTTTGTCAACTTTAACCAGGGGCGTACAAACCAGAGGGGTATTTGGGTAAATTTGACCCTACTCCTCTTAGGCTTTAATTTCTTACCATTTTTATATCTGATTATGATTCTCCAATCCCTTTTACATGAAATAGGTACATACTCTTGTAAAAATCGCTATCTGTCACCGTTTCCTCCGAAAATGGCTAAATCCAATCAATAATAAATTATTGGTCTTAAACCAATTATTACGTTGAAATGTGAAAATGAGATTCAGTACAGATAGAGTGAGCATTATTAGTTGGTCAAATCTTCCCCTTCAATGAAAATAAATTAGATTAGAGAAATTTATTGTCTTTTCGAAATTGGGGGTATAAAAAGTAAAAGGCAACGTATACAAAATATTTCAAAAAAAACAAAAGCAAAACTAATAATAAATGTGCAATAAATCATTCACGAGCACCAATGAAAAACTTAAAGTCTTGAAGTTTCAAAAGAACAGCGTGTGAGCAGGTACAGGTCTCCAAGGAAACCGCTCCTGATTCAATCTTGAAGCGGATCTTCCATTGCAATGAACTTCGCCATAAATTAATAGCATATCGGCATATTCGGCGAAAGTATAATCCATGATTCACTGGCGACAAAATATTTTATTGACAGATTTTTGACAACTATCTGTACTGAACCTCATTTTCATATTTCAACGTAATAATTGGTTTAAGACCAACAATTTATTATTGATTGGATTTTCCATTTTCGGAGGAAACGGTGACAGATAGCGATTTTAACAAGAGTACCTTTTTTATGTAAAAAGCATTGGAGAATCATAATCAGATATAAAAATGGTAATAAATTGAAGCCTAAGAGGAGTAGGGTCAAATTTACCCAAAGACCCCCTGGTTTGTACGCCCCTGGTTGAAGTTGACAAAATCCGGAAGGCTCAAATTGATGAACCTACGAACTAGATTTCATGTCCCAAAATTGGTTGCGATAGCTGCAGTAGTACCGAAGCTATAAAACGAAAAGTAGTTTTTGAAGGTCATCTTCGAAGGGCCCTAGCTCCCTGAAGAAGCGTTTCCGGACTCATGTTCGCATGAACTTTTTTTTAATTTTCGTGTGTTTCATCTACCCTAGAAGTTTCTAACATGATCACCAGAACACCCTGTATATCTTTAGTGGAATTTAGCACCTAAAAATCGACTAAAAAATTCTTGAAAAATATGGAATTGAAAGGTATTCGAGTGATGATTCTATTTGAGAAATGGAAAAAATTAGTACACTCTATTATCCTCAATGATCAACCATCAACCTGTCTGTTGAGCCAATAAATTTTTTCAGGCTTTCACGACTTCGAATGGGAAGCAGGACAATTTGACATCAACGCCACTAAATTGGTGAACAACAACATGCACTTGACAGATCCGAACCAATTAGAGGCAGCAGGAGAGGCAATCCACAGGATTTATACCGACGGGCTTTTTGCTGATGATGTGGGGAAATCCGTCCAAGTAAGACCATTCATTTTTTTATCAAAAGAAACACTGGATTAACTGTTCTTAATTTCTTCTCACCCAATTCGAATCGTGAAACTTATTTGGAGTTTCATATGTATTATAAATATATATACAGCCTGTCTCATTTCAAACGGCCCCCCGTTATATCTCGGCTATCAGTCGTATGATCTTTACCAAATTTGTATCGGTATGTATGATCATCAATATGACCAGTTCTTCGAAGACAAACATCATTTCAGACAGTGCTGTGCATTTTTATTGAAATGAATAGGGGTCAGTTTTTCATCAAATCATATTAGGCATTTTTCCACAGGAAAACTGACCTCATAATATTGTTCTTCATGGTTTCAAACCCACATATGTGAATTTTCATAACATTCCTATGAAGGGTTTCAGAAGAACAGGCACATCCAAACAGCATTTTTGCGAACGTAATGATTATTTAGGGAACGGTGAGTTCAACATAAAAAAGTATAACTCGTTTTTCCTTCCAAATGATGATTTTCCACCTACCAGAGCCATTGAACGTTCCAAAATCCGTAGTTGATTTGAAGTTACTTTTTATTCCAGACTGAAAATGAACAAAATGATGCCAATCCCGTTAATTCGGAATTAGATGATTTTTTGCATATGATGATTCGAAAGCATGAGGAACAATAAAGTGAGGTTAGATTTCCTGTAAAAAAATGCCAATATGATTTTATGAAAAATTTACCCCTTTTTAGTTTCATAAAAGCGCACCGCACTGTCTAAAATAATGTGCATCTCTGTAAAACTGATCATATTGATGGTTATTCATACCACACCAAATTTGGTTGGAATCGCATGACTAATAACTGAGATATAGAGGGGGGCCGTTTAAAGTGAGACACGGTGTATATATATATTCAAATTTTTATTCAATATCACTGAGAAATTATATTTGTTGAATATTAATAAAAATGAGGTTCATTTGTTCCCAAATGACTTGTAGGGAAGAATTTATTAAATCCGTGTAGGGAAAACGTATTCGAAAGGTTGGCATCACTGACTGTATCGTACCTTCTTGATATTAACCCGGCATGTAACTTTTATCTTGTTTATATTCGAGGCTTATATGAAATTTAGTACTGTAATGAAAATTTTCCAAGACCAGTCCGGTAATAGATATTTACGATACAAGTATCGTAATGGCGATGTGAGATGGGAATATAACCATCGAGCATCGTGATAAGAATTTACGATACGTATATATTTACAGATTCCTTGAATCAACCATTTAATCAATACATATTCCTTGAATTGACCATTTATTAACAATATGTAACAAAAAAAAACGTACACCTGTACTTGTCCTGAATCTATTTTGTTCTCGGTTGTCAAGTTTGACGAGATCATCAAATTGAAATTGAAAAATATGTATCGACATAATTTCCGATTAGATAAAGAATTTGAGGCAAATGAAGCAATTCAAACGGTAGTACCGTACCTGTTAGATTAATGATCAGTTAGTTCTTGTTTCTCTTATTTTCAGTAAAAAACTGAAATTTCAAATAATTATTGTCATTTACTTTACCGCACAGAGCGGTCGCATATAGTCTCGCAACATAGTTGAATATTAACCTGTTTACTGAAATAATGTCCATGTATAAAACCAGTAGAAAAATATTCAAAAATTTAGAGAACTGAACATTCCACCTATGAAAAATCACCTATGCTAATTCAATTTACCTTTCAGTTTCGCAGTGACACTTCATTCACTAGAGGAATAATTCGTTATGCTCAGATGCAATCGAAATTCAGCGATATTTACTACTACCAGTTTTCTTATTATGGACCCATCATTGGAGATAGGCTGAATATTGATGGTATGTATTATTGATTTTAAGGGGGCAATTGCGCGCAGCGGTCAGAAAGGACCCCGCACTACGATAGGGGGGAAAAGGCTTTCGGTGAAATTGCTAGAATTCTGGATATATTGTAGATTTCGATGCTGATCAGATGTCTCAATTTTCAATGCTCTAAACTAAATAGTTTGGATTATTCATGGTGCTAAAGTTCACTTTTTCTAAATTTCTAATGGCCATTGTGAAGTTTCCTTTTCGAATAACGAAACTAAATCGACTACGTTTTGTTTGTTCATGTGGCCGGTGGAAATCCACTATATATGATACCTGCACGTTTACGATATACAGAGTTGGTCCAACTATTTCCGCACCAGTCCTGCTGTTCATATCCATCAAGTGATTGGAATCCAATAAAACTTGGTAAGGAACTGGATCATTCCTGATGAAAATGAACAGAATCACCAAATGATGTTATAATAGATAGCGAAAGATTCTCCAATCACTATAGATGCTGTTTTTCACCTATACAGAGTGTATTATTTTTTCCTTACCATGTTTCACGGGATTCCAATCATTTGATGTGGATATGAATAGCAGGACGGGTGCGGTTTCATGAAAACTAAAACACCTTGTGTTTAACATGTAAGTCTGATTCAAGAGATGTAATTATCTTGATCAATATTTATATTAGTATACTACAAAATGTCCAAAAATGAATCAATTTTCACCGCTCCCTTTTTAGGAAATAACATTTGCTATTTTTGGACCAACTCTGTATATTGTGAATACGTGTAGTTATCATGTCATTGACTACTATAATTGTTTTCTACCGGCCACATGAACAAAAAAAAACGTAGTCGATTTGATATCGTTATTTGAATAGGAAGCTTCACAATGACCATTCGAATTTTTTTAAAAGTCAACTTCAGTCCCTGTAGAATCCAAACTTTTGAGTTTAGAGCGTTGATAATTATGGGGCACCTGATCAGAATCATGAATTCTACATTATGTCGAAAATTTTAGGGAATTCACCGAAAGCCAATTTCCCTCTTGTTGCGGTGCGGGGTGATTTTTTCAGGTAGTAGAGAATGAATAGGACATTTATTGCACGCAATTCAACTCCGGTATTATTGGTCAATTGCGCTCAGATTGAAATTGTTGATACGAAACGCTCCTAACGAAATCGTTAGTAAGGATCATATCTTAGAAAGGAAACTACTTTCTCTAAATAATCTAACCTCACTTAGCCTAAATTTCTGATTAACGGCTTCTTCTTGGGGTTTGGATTCAGTTATAAATGTATTGTAAGTAATTACAAGGGATAAAGTAGTAAAAACGTTTCGCTCATGGCCATAGGCTTTGTCAATTTAATGAACAATCTGTAAAGAGTTTGCATTGATAGACATTGTAGCATGACATTAGAAATAGGGATACGTACTTCAACCATAAATTCATATCTCCCATTTATTGTAGTTTCAACATTTCATGTTAAAAAAATGAACCTTCTTAATAGAAAGTATATTTTCCTACGACCACCTATGAAAACAGCACAAAACACTTTGATTTGTTATTGAGAAAGTGACTCGTTCCACTATGACAACATATAAGAGTTAGAAAGTTCGAAAGCAAAACTCACATGGGTGGACATATTCGAAAATCGCACAGTAACAGGGTCTATAGATTATGATGTACCAATGAATGATTATTATGCTGAATTATGGTAAGTTAAGTTATGGCCGAGTTAATGGAAAGTTAGTGTCGAATTAACATGAGTTTCTATTCCAGAAGGATACTCCTGTTTCTGAAAAATCCAATGTATCATAATCGGTTCTTCATCTCCTAGTTCGATAGGAGTAGGTCGGTTTTGATTGGAAACTCGATCCTCACCTTCCGGTTCGATAGCATTCGATCCTGATCTATTATCTCCTGTATCAGAAAGTTTCGCTGGAAACTGAGCCCTGATAGAATTTCCGGCACTGTCGTTCTTCGAGGAATCATAACTCTGGCTAAATTTTTGGAAATTTTAAGTTTTCAACAGGTATCACACGTGATTGTAGGCATCTTTATCAATCGTTTGAAGTAATTCCCGTGGGAAAAAAGCAGTTTATGAAAACTGATATTTCATGACGTATGCCGCATGAAATAGCATCGCCTTTCATATCCCTTTTGTTTCAACCCGTTATCACATGACGGAAGTATGTCGGGAATAATGACAACAAATAAATCGCTGTGCCCTGGATTTGGCTCAGATTGAGGGTTAGTACAGGTAGGTTATGGAGATATACCATTAAATTGTCATCGGATGGCATAATTCTCATTCCGTTATCAAATCGCGAAATTGAGTGCCAATTAGCGCACAGGAAAGTGCCATTTTTCAATAATCTTGCTACGGATAGTGATTGGCACAGCTGCCGTTCCATAAAATACAATGTTTCCACATGCCTTTGGAACAGTGGCTCTCATAGGTCGCGTGCACGATGACCGACCCTGGAGGCAAAATATTGAAACACAACCTCATTCTTCTGTGAATTATTGAAACACAACCTCACTTTTTTATTTGGTTACAGAGGAATCAAAGGATAGAAATATCTTTTCCCAAATCTTTTGGCATACGAATCGTGTTTTTTGCGCTATTCATTAATTCGAGCATGCCTTCGCATTGTGCTGTTGTACAATGCACAAAAAATGCAGCAAGAGACTAAACGAATATGATTTTTCAGGTAAATAGTAATCTCACATAGTTATATCATTATGAAATGTTGTCATTCCTTATTAAAATTCCTTCTGCCTTCTGCCACTTCTGCAATACAAGCTAATACTGCTAATAGATTGAAAATGTCTACAACACACACGATCGTCAGCATGTCAGACCAGTCCTCCCGATTGATTGCATGAATCCAATCTTCATGCATTATTCTAGAAATTTCAGGTATATTTCTATTAGCTCCTATTGCAGAAGAAATTCCGATGAGAAATCAGAGAAATAACCAAATTTCAAAAATTAAAACTATATGTGAGTGACTATAGTAGGTACTTACTTTTAAATCATAATGTACCGTCCGGATTCCTTCATCTTCCGCTGCAGTTTTTGTGCATTCTACAGCAGCACAATGTGATCACTATTCTCTCAACTGTGATGTGATGGCATGAGCGAATTGATGAATAGCGGAAAAATACGATTCATATGCCAAAATAATTGTGGAAAACTATTTCGATCACCTGTAAACAAATATGAGAGAAGTGACGTTGTGTTTCAATGTTTTGCCTCCAGTGTCAGTCATCTGACAGTTCTTGCACGCAACCCATTCTATGTGACCCTGCCAGACTTCTTTTTCTGAGGTTATGTCAAGAACTAGATGTTCATGAGCGAGCTATATAAACAGAAAAACTCAGAATACTGGTTCTATGAAATATTTCAGAGTATTTATAACGCCAGAAATGCTGAATAATATTTTGAATCCCACAGGAAGAAGATAATGGTCGAATGGACTGCATGATGATGAATTATTGACATTCAATTACTTCACTGTATCATTAGGAATCTGAATTAATTTTTGCAACTCTTCTCACGCTTTTTCATTTGAATATGTTAGCATCTTCAGGAGAAGATTAAAACTTAGCGAAACACGTGTCGAGGCGTTAAAAAATCGGTTTGGTTAGTGGTAAAACAGTGTAGTGTATTATCGTGCCAAATGTTCCAGTCTTCGATAGACCATTTATTGGATTATATATAACTTATACTATGGAATGGTTCATTCTAATACTATAAAGATACATTCTCATTGATAAATTATAGATGTTATGAAATAAATCAATGAAGAACATAATGTACGAGTTACAAATATAAAAAAGTGTATAATGTTACTGAAACGTATCAATTAAAAACAAAAGCATAGTAACATGGAACTTCGAGATATCAAAATAATATGTCTCGAACTTGAATTTCTTCAGAATATTAGATTCATTGGAATAATAATCGAACCTCATTTTATTATGTTCAGGTGCTCACAGAGTGGGTCATTCTGATGACCAAGCCTTTGTATGGGTATTCGGAAACAAGAGTACCATGAACTCTCAAACTCCGGAAGATATCTTGACGTCCAATCGTTATACGACGTTATTCACAAACTTTGCGAAGTATTTGTAAGTATATTGGTACAAGATAGCCCTAAGTTATATTGATACTTTATTTATCGTCAGATTAAATCACAAAGACATATCCACACAATGTTCATAGAATAAACAACATTGGTAGATTTCGGTAAAAGAACAACTACTTTCCTGGCTAATATCACGCAGAACATTGAATTACCTCCTCCCGAAATTTATGCATCGACTCGTATAAACGAATACTGATACTAGTTATTCTTTCCTGAATGCCTATTGATTTCGATTTAGCTAGGCCACGCTAGACACCCACAGACCGGTTTCAAGCTCTTTGACTCTCATCAGTGTAGTGCAGTTTCCAGCTAGCGGTCCTAAAACCGCCGACTAAGCGTAGCCTAGCCAAACAAAAATCAAGTCGGCATTATATTCTCCCAGAGGCGTCTTTCATAGACAATATGGAAGCAACGCCATCTGAGTAGAAAAGCAGGAGAGAAACACTCCAGAACTGATATTCCCATACGGAAGTGGCTGGTTGCCAGACTGGCGTAATTTCAACTACGAAATAGTCACAATGCTCAAAATGGAATGAAATGTTAAATAAATACGAAAATATCAAAGTCATATCCACACATTGTTCAAAGAATGAGAATGCAAATTTGAAGTTTGAATCAAGTAAATATGTCATGCATGAATTCTGGATACCATTCAATCAAGCACGTTCATGAAGAGATATTGAATTGGCTCAAACACTCATTTTGTTTGAATAAAAATAGCAAGATATTGATTCAATCAAATATTTCCATTCGACAAATTGCTTCTTTGAACCGAGTTCAGTATTGGTTCGGGAATTTTCTGGAATCTCACGTGAATAAAATAAACTAAACTAGGAAACAAGTTGACTTTTAGCATAGATCTCCAGTCTTTACTTCTCTTCAGCTGATGCAAAACTATTTCGGATTGCTAATCATCCTAAGTTCGATTTATTCAGATGATATTTCAAACACGAAGAATCAGGCTTCAATTATATAATGAATTCGAGGCAGGCATAGACGAGGCGAAATGATGGCTATCTAGATGCAAAAATTTAACTTGATGTAGAATGTACAAAATATTCCATTGATATTACATATTTCGTTGCTCTATTCAAGCAAATGATCCGTTAGAAACTAGTTCATTGCCACATCGGAATAAGAAAACTTTCTATGAAATATTATCATCAAAATAATCATTATTTCATCATATCAACAAAATGTTTATAGTTGAATAAACATCGACATTATTTTGGATCGACATAATTTGTTTATGAGAAAACCATATATTTTGTTGATGGAATTGATATTATACTGTTGAATCAATTAAACCACATTCTTGATTAGAACAAGCTGCTTTCATGAGATAATCATGTACCTGTTTGATTCAACAAAAAATTGCTCAGTCCAACAAAAATGATGCAAGCATAAATAATTTGTTGATGCAACAAACCATTTTTTCCGTATAGGTTTGTGTATGTGATTAATAAAACCAACTAAATTTTCAGAGATCCTACTCCAGAACCATCAAGCTTGTTTGATAACATTGACTGGCCCACAGTTGATCCAGATAATTTCCAGTATCTGGATATAAACGACACGTTAACAATCAAGAAGAATCCTAGAGGTGATGTCTTTCCAAAATGGGTGGAAGTCTACGAACAAATGGCTATCAAGCCATATACTACTTTCTGAGTGTGATGGATTTTATCAGTAAATAAAAAAAGTGTTATAGCCGAATCTGCTTTTTTGTTACGATACAATGATAAAAATTTTACTCGTAATACGTGAAGGTTGGAAGAAAATCGTTAGAAGCTTGATATGGCCATTGGGGAAAAAACTTCAGACACGTCGATTGTCTTTTTCACTTGCGCAATAGTTTGTAGGTTTATTTGATTCTGTTGTCATTTTCATAAATTACATTAATATGAATGAAATCTCTCTTTTATCTCCCCCAAAGTATGGTTAAGGAACATAAAAAGAAATATGACATTCATATACAGAAAAATGGGTTCTTCTCCATGGTATAATCAGAAAAGGTAATTGCCATTTGGACAAAATCAATCAAAAATATGAGTAGATCAAGAAATGTGTATCGACAAAGAAAATCGATCTGTCAGAGCTTTTTTCCCCACTGTCCGAATCAAGCTTCAAACGAATTTGTTCGATATACCTTTTTTCAAATGAAAATATGGATCCTGGGGTCAGCCCTTCAGGCAACATGTGTTTTTTGTAGTCATTATTACTAACTCCATACGCCACCAATATTGATTTTTCAAATCGAACGAGACGATGAACGAAAACATCTTTGAATGTTTTTCTAGATTTATAAATTGAAAATCTCGTGCCATGACTTGGGTTCCAACCTGAAACCCCATTAGAGTCAATAGGCGGAATGCATACCCATACCTACTACGTCAGAGAATTTAAAATTCTCAGATGGAAAGGGATTAAGTCTTGCGAGGATATTTGTTAAAAGTATGTAGGTATGTAGGAATCACTCTGCTCAATAATACGCTTCCATCTCATGGCTTGCCTCCTAGGCTATGTCCTGTCCTGGAATACTATTCCCATATTTGGAGTGCAGCACCCAAACATACCCTGAAACTGTTGGATTCTGTCCAAAAAAGGGGAATTCATCTCGTGGGTGATGCCTCGCTCACAAACTCACTCACTTCTCTGGAACACCGTAGAAAAGTTGGCGATCTGGCTCAATTTTATAGCTATTTTCATGGACGACGCTCTCCTGAAATATCAACAATTGTTCCTCCCTTGGCAGTCCCCCCGATATTTACCCGTCGAGTTGAGGCTTCGCACCCCTTCGTGGTCTCTTTGGAGACCTGCAGAACATCTCTTTCCAAAGACTCGTTCATTCAACGAACAGCGAGGCTCTGGAACACATCGCCAAGGGAAGTGTTCCCCGAGGCATATAACCTCCAGAAATTCAAGAAGAACACCAATTCCTACCTTATTTCCCTTGGTTCTCACGATGTTCTCTGAACATTACAGAATATCCCTTTTCGTGGGAACCAGAACATAAAAAAAGTATGCACAGGGTGTTCAATTTTGATTAAGTATCATAACAATGTCTTCTATCGTAATCTATGTACACTAGAGTTTGCAGTCCCGAAATCCCAAGACGGTTAATCCCGGGATCCCGTGTTTTCATCAGGAGTGAACTGAACTGTTTTTTCGCGATACTGATAATCAGTTGATCTGGGTTAAAGCATCGAATGTATTTCTATGGAATATGTATTGAATTTGAACCGTTAACGAATACTTGGTATGTCTTCTCGTCTTTAGGCAATTCAAATATAAATGGAGACCATCATTCTCAGAATTTTCGAGGGGACGCCTATTCAATTTTAAGAGCTGACATTTAAAATTTGAGGATATGATGACAATTCTGAAATGTCAGTGTTGACAAGCGTATCCACACCCTCTGAAGGACGTGTAATGAGATGTTTGAGGCACTATGAAACAAGCCAACGACAAAACGGACTCATCATAATTATCTAAGTAGAAAAAAATTGATATGTACACTGCTTCCCAGAAAAATCGTAACGACTCTTGAACTATGTTGGTATATTTTGTTTAAGCCCATGTACTATTCATCGCTTAGGCACAATGTCGTTTCACCCAAGAGTACACCTCATTAGCATTTTATGACCTGATTCAACTGTTTTGGGTGCATTCAATTAGCAAGAACTTGAGCAGAATAATTATGGTATTGGTTTCAAAATTACCAATCCAATTGATATCGATTATGATGGAAATGGCAAGGGCTAATTTTGAAATTTCATTGTGAATGTGAGATACTCAAAAATTTTCTCAACCTTACTCGAAATGGATGATCTCGAAGTTTTTTTTTCAACATATTCAGATCGGCGGCAATGATTGTGTCTTCATTATTTGTATCTCGAGAAAATACGGAACTTTTTTTTATATATTTGCGAGAAATGTATGCTCGAATTATGTCACAATGTTATGTGTTATACCGTGCAGATTTTGTTGGAAATGAAATCAACCGAAGACGTGCATCGAATCTTTCAAGAATGAACTCTTCGAATCATATTATTATTATTATTTTTTTTTTTTCATTTAATTTGACAAAATAGTTTCAATAACGATAATTAATGTTTCAACTACCGACATTTCCAAAATGAATATTCAGAATCCAAAACTTTGACGATATTGAATTTCTTCATACTTCATGTCTATGAAATTTTATGTCACGAGCTGCCATCCTTCCATATTTTAAAGTAAATGATATTATTGAACCAAATTATGAAATGAACTTTCACTATACTCATTCTACCTGCTTTTTCACACCATACCACGAACAGAGATATTAAGAGGATTTAGGTATAGGAAACTACCTATACCGTCGCGGTCGTGCTGTGTAATAAAGATAGATATAATAGTCTATGGGCATAAGCAGATATTTCGAGGAAATCATGACACCAGTCGTTACGATTTTTTTGGGCAGCAGTGTACATGGCACGAATCACTGTATACATACTAAATACAGTCAGCATTTGATTACTTCCATGAAAACGGTCGTTTGTCGTTTGGCATATTTATTTTCAGACGAATATAGATCTCGGTTGATGGTGCCTTGCTCCGATACTCTACTCTAATTTGTCCCATATATTTTTTGAAATTCAACCTTGTCGTTCCTCGATTCGTTTCCGCCGAGCATCAATAAATTGCAATCGAGGGTCATACAGTAGCGCATCCATTGGCATTTTTTAAATTAACACCCTCTTATTAACTTTATTTTTCTATGTTTGTATGTATGTATGGAAACGACTCCTTTGACATCGTCTTTTGGACTCGATGTTGACTCACTTTAAAATAAACAGACCGATTGATTTGAAATTTGGCAGGTGTACCGGGTGACATGTTATAAAGCATCACCCCATATAACTTTATTATTTTTGACAGTAGAAAAAAATTGAAAAAATAGTCTTACAGGGATTTTTTTTTATCGCTTGGAGCGCACGAAAGGAAATCCCTATAATGTTCAAAGAACATCGTGCGTTCCTAGGGAGGATAGGGACAGGAGGTAGGTATTAGAATTTTTCTCGAACTTCTGGAGATTATATGTTGTTGGGAATACTTCCTCAGGCAATGAATTCCAGAGCCTAGTCGTTCTATGGATGAAGGAGTTTTGATAAAGTGCTGTTCGATATCTTTCGAGGTTGACAACGAGAGGATGTGCTGACTGGGCTTGTCTAGTTCGTCTGACTGGTCTTGCTTGTGAAGGGATGATAGCAGAGATTTCTGAAGAACAATTCCCCTGGAAGTATCGATAGAAAAGTTGAAGGTTGCTGACCTTTCTACGGTGTTCCAATGATGTCAAAGAGTGAGTGAGTGTGACGTCACCCACCAGGCGAATGGCTCTTCTCTGGATGGAATCTAAGAGCATCAGCGTATGTTTTGGTACTGAACCCCATATGTGGGAACAGTATTCTAGAACAGGCCGTATCTGCGCTTTGTAGATCATGAGAAGTGTTGAGGTGTAAAGTAGCTTTTCGCACGGAACAAGTATCCGAGTTTTTGTGAAGCTGAGCTTTTGCGATGGATCTGACATGATTATTCCATGAATAAAGAGTGTTGCTGATGGAAATACCGAGCATAGATATGGTGGGCTTGGTGGGGATGGTGGTGCCAGACATAACAATATCGGGCATACTGAGTCCCGCCTTTCCAGAGAAAATACAGGCTTGAGTTTTGGTGGCGTTGAATTCAACTAGGTTGTTGGTTCCCCAGGCTGTGATTTCAGAAAGGTCTCCATTCTTAGTTTCCTGGGAAGAAATGGGAATTCTGGAAGAGAACGCAGTATGGAGGGTACTATCATCTGCGAAGCTGTGGATGGGACAAGTTGTTACTCCCAACAGATCATTGATATGAAGAAGGAATAATGTTGGTGCCAAAATCGATCCTTGTGGAACGCCGGAATTGATGCCAATGTTTTCATTAATCTATCTTAACATTTCCATTTTCATATTTCAGTAGTGAATACCATGTTCTATCTATATCAACTGTACAGGAAGCAATGCTATTGTCTCCGTTCAGAAGAATGCAAGCAGATTCCTTGATTTTTCTCTTCTGGTTGTTATCTTCTTTTCCAATGATTTTAATGTTATTCCACTCTGCCATATGTAACTCATTTGATTGCCAACGTCACCAATTGTCACTGAAAACTGAGAAGTGAAAAGACGAATACGAATTTGCCATACAAAAATAAATTTTTTATGTTGAAAACGGGAGCAAATTCGTTCTCGAAACGCCCAAACATAAGTGAAAATTTGATATTTTTTCTATATACCTTCATTTCTCTTCTCCAAACCTTTCACTTTTCTATCGATACTTCCACGGGAAATATTCTTCGAAAATCTCTGCTATCATCCTTTCACTAGCACTACCAATCAGACGAACTAGACAAGCCCAGTCAGCACATCCTTTCGTTGTCAACCTCGAAAGATGTCGAACAGCACTTCATCAAGACTCCTTCATCCATAGAACGGCTAGGCTCTGGAATTCATTGCCTGTGGAAGTACTCCCGACAACAAAAGTTCAAAAAAAATTCCAATACCTACCTCCTGTCCCTATCCTCCCTAGGAACGGACGATGTTCTTTGAACATTATAGGGATTCCTTTTCGTGCGCTTCAAGCGATAAAAAAAATTCTGTAACTCATTTGATTGCTAACGTCACCAATTGTCACTGACAACTGAGAAGTGTCAAGATGAATACGAATTTGCCATACGAAAAT